TCGATGTTCGGAGGAAACGTCTGGTTGATGTTTCGGAGCAAATTGGATTAATTGGTTTCCCGTCCACGGAAACCAAGCCGTTCACACTCAGAACATGGTTAGACCACAGTGGCTACTAAACTGTGCCCTGTGTTGTGGCGAGGAGATAGCATTTAGTAATCGGTGAGCTACTGCATCATGATAAATGTGGGTAGTTTGCAGGCAACTTGGATCGGACTGAGTGGGAAAAGGGTGTAAAGTTGTAAGCTAGAGGAAAACTTACTCCATTCATGGAGCAATCGAGTCAAAGGCTTCCCTGAGGTCAAGTCCAGTACATCTAGACCTTGAGAATGCACAACAGCCAACGCATTCGCTTTGTGTACCGCTCTGTTGGTCGCACTATGGATGCCTCTGGGTGCGGCCCAGAATGGAACTATGCGACCATCATTTGGTCCTCGCCAGGAAATAGGCTAAGGAAAATGAAAAGCAATAAATGTGCAGTGTGAAAACACGGGAGAATAAGCTTAAAGGCATTTCGAAATCAAATCGACGCAGTAACAAAGGGGTGGGGGAGGGTGTTGGACTAGACATGAGGGAAGAACCCATAACGTGAAAGAAAGCAACCAGAGTATGGAGCGAAAGCACGAAAAATAGTCACTAAGAGTCGAAGTGGGTATTTCATGGTAGAAACGGTCATTAAACTGAGAAGCACGTGTCCAATTAGGATAAAAAAGTACTGCTCGAGGTGAAAAGCCAAAACGTCTCAACGCCGTAGAAAGTGGAAGGAGATGATGGTAATGTGAAGACCAGCTCACGCGGTCCATAAAAGAGCACAAGGCATGTACACACACGTCATGTGATATGTGCATAATTATTGCTTCAGCCATTTGCGCTGCTGTTGCGATGAGTATGCTGTGTTTCGATCAAGTTCCTTGAAATGGGCTACATTTAGAACCAAAGAAGTCATATCAGGAAGCCATGCTGGTGAAGACCAAACCGAAACTAGACAAACATTTTGGAAATAGATGGCTAAAGTAAACCGCTTGTCGGTAAATATACAAAGTTAGTTATAAACTTTATGTACTCTAAGTGCAAAGAACTTGAAACTCACTCACTAGACGAGATAGGATGGCGACCAAAATGAGGATAATGAATGACTCTGGAGGAAACATGTTGGTCGACAATAAAATGTTCGAAGGACTTCGTAAAAAAATAGTTAAAGGTACGCAGCCCATGCCCGGCATCAGATAACGAAAGAAACTCGCCGAAGAAATACAAGCCACATTCCATAGTGCCATTTAGTAAGCTCTTTTGTGGTAAACAATGTCATTTATCGTGGGCAAACAGAAACAAATTCTAAGAGAGTGCGTCCTCCCAATTAGTTTGTGAACTCAGATACGGTGTTGATACAGATACGAAAGATCCCAAGCTAAAATAGAGAGAAGTTATTGGCTCATTTCCGATACGACACTTCGCGACTGGCTTCATCAATGGGTCGGTGCTTCAGATTGCCCGAGAAATGAACAATAAGGCAAACGATATGTCCTGGACCTGAGTCTAAGGTCGATTAATTTTACCTGGTGTCGATCGTTGAACGAAGTGTCGGAAGCCGGAAATACCTCTACCGTTTCCGCAGATAGTCCCAGTGGCCGAAAGGACAGGAGTTCACTGCAGAGTGAATCACGTTGCAAACTAAAACCGCGTGCTGCAATCCAGACAAAAAGAGCGAATACTCCCAACCATAACAAAGGATCCCACTCGAAGAATGTTGCGCCTTATGAGAGAGGAAAAGACATTACGAACAAAGACCGATGGAGCATACAATGAAGCTTTATATTCAAATTGCGGTTGACAGGACCCAGCTATCCGAAGGAGAGACGTGGGGGACATACCAGATTGTCAGGTTCCACTGACCAGCACGCTTCGCGCACCATGATTGGCTGAAAAGACGCACCAAACAGACAACGAGCATTCACAAGTACCTACTGCAGGGGTTATTAACCGATCAGCTGTTGACCTATTCTAAGCCCGACTGCTTGCCGTACCAAAGTCTTACACAATGTCGGCTTATATATGTATGTATGTACTGGTTTCTTTCCGCCATTATACCACACACACATGCCGAAGAACCTGCACAGCGCCAAATGGTTACGAATGATAATTAAATAAATAAATAAATTTGTATATTTACCGATAGATGGTACACGGCCCCACAAGTGGGACATGGCCCTGTAAGATATCTGCTGAAATGCTTTTCGTTAGTCAGCTGCTCGGGAAGGTACATTAAAGCTTTTCCTACATATTACAAATGGATTACGCTGTATGCCTTAGATATATGAACCACATAACTCATTATATCATCTACAAGTTCACGCGATTTTTAGTCTACACGCACTGCTTGACCTTCAGTCCATTTCTATTTACTACGGGGCCGAAATAAGTAACGAAGTTATTGGTAAAATGAGCATCAATGCATCTTTGGAAGAAATATCTGATTAATGTCTAAAAACAAATGAAATCTAAATTTCTCGCTGTTAAAGAATAAACTACTTGCACTAGCAAATCTCATCGAAACCTGTGGATAATAATGGGGCCAATTTCACTAGACCGTGTCCCACGTTACTACTATTATTAGCATTATAAATATTATTATTACGCAAACGAACCTGCAAAAATAGAGCAGATAACAAAAGGCATGCGTGTTGAAAAGCAAGTACGATCAACCTAAGCCCGAAGACCACACGAGTAGTGACGAGAGATGAACTTCGGTGATCAATCAGACCAGTAGAGGTGTTCGGTGGGCAACGGAGAACCAACCACATCAGTTGGCACCGCTCAGCAGTGGTGGCAAAAGATGACAACCGCGGCGATTTCGCAAAGAAACGCGAGTAAGCGTTGACCTCTGGATGGGATATTCCTTCCGTTCCAATTGCGCAAAGTCCTGCTGAGTTGCCGAAGATCACCAACCTTCACAGGCGATTGGGTCGCCGGGCAGAGCATTTCGCTCTTAAATTCAACCACCCAACACAGCCCCATGTGACACCTCCAGCCCCGATGTATGACGCTTGGCCTGTCTCCACACACTCCCAAATGAAGCAGAGATTCGAAATGCAATCCAATCTTTGAAACGCCACAAGGCTCCGGGTCCCGATAACCTACCACCGGTTCTTTTCAAAGATGGCGGGAGTGTACTTGTCAGCGAAACCCTATCACTGTTGAAGAAAGTTTGAACTGAGGAAAAGGTTCCGAACTCACGGGTAGAATCGGTCATTGTTCCGATTCACAAGAATGGCTCCCGCGCCGATTGCTGCAACTACCGCGGAATCTCGATAATCTCTTTCGCATCCAAAATCTTCGTGTCGACCCTACTTAGCAGGTTTTCAACGACGAGAGGAGTTTTCCAGAGAACAACAAGCCGGATTTCGTCCAGGCCGCAGCTGCATCGACCAAATCTTCACGCATCGGCAAGTTTTCAAACTTCGTCACATCCACCGGCGGCCAACAATCGTAGTGTTTTTGGACACCCGAGCGGCATTTGATTCAGTAGATAGATCTGTGTTGTGGAACTGTTTACTGAAGAAAGGTGTGCCCGACAAGTTTGTAACTATCCTGAAAGAACTTTACAGTCACACAGCGGGCAAAGTCAGGGCTTACGGCACGCAATCTTCTTCGTTTGCTGTGACCAGCGGTGTTCGCCAAAGTTGCTCTATTTCACCTATCCTCTTCAATTTTGCCATCGAAGATGTTCTCCAAAGAGCACTAAGTGCCCAGGACTGCGGTGTTGAGCTCCTCCCTGGAGACAGAGTCACGGACTAGGACCACGCTGATGGTATCGCCTTGCTGGGGGACGACCCAGAAACCGCCCAGAGCCTCTTGGACCGCTCGGCGATGGAGGCGTCTAAGTACCGCTGATGCTTCACTCCGGGAAAATGTAAAACGCTGCTCCAGGAATGGCAGGTGCCTGAACCCGCGCTCACCATTGCTGGACATGTTCTGGAGCAAGTCCCTTGCTTTACTTATCTAGGGCGTTGCATCACGGCTGGTGGTGATGTTGGAGATGAAGTCTCACAACGGATTGCAAAGGTCCGCCTTGCATTCATCAAAGTGAGATACCTACGGCGTCGTCGTGATGTCAGTCTCAAGCTCAAGGGCAGGGTGTACAATGCTTCCGTCCGTGCAGTAATCTTGTACGGCTGTGAGACTTGGCCTATTCGCTCGGAAGATATGAAGCGGCTGTCACTCTTCGACAATCGCTGTCTACGAATGACTGCTCGGGTGTGGTGGCAACACCATGTAAGCAACCCAGAGCTGCGAGACCGCGTGCTTGGGGCGAATAGCGTCAGTCTTCAGAACGCTATTCTCCGACATCGCACGCATTGGCTCGGGCACGTTCTGCGCATGTCAGCCTCTCGCCTTCCACGTCGAGCGCTATTTGCACTCCCGGTGAGCGATTGGAAGAAGTGCCGCGGTGGACAGTCAATGAGGTGGAGAAGGAGCATGAAGAAGGCAACCTCAAGTTTGGTGGCAGTCGGGCCAGTCCGTCTTCCACGTTGGGGACCACGAGATACCGAATCGTAGGGGTTGGAAACATTACACGTCATGGCCAGCAACAGACATCAGTGGCGTTAATGTTCTGCAATTTTACCATCCCTTTGATGCACACAAAAACTAACAAACCAAAACAAAAGATACAAAATGGTGTGTGTAAAACCAAAAAATCGTTTCCCATATTTTTAAATTGCAGTTCGTGTTCCCATCTTCTTCCCTTCTTTTCTTCTGCCATGGTTCTGATGGCACAATGCCTGTTAACAGACTATGAATATATATATATATATATATATATATATATATATATATATATATATATATATATATATATATATATATTGTTGCTGAGCGCCGAGGAATAGCATGTGCAGTGGTTCCAGTGAGATGAAAACTAGTAGAGCAGTGATGTAAATCCAAACGCCAAGAAGAGGCAAATAACCATAGTTACACATAGAAGAAAGCCTCAAACATACCAAGACATCCATGAGACTTTCACGGTATTCCCCCCAAGTAGATTCCTCAATGTGAGAATGCGACTTGAATTGATCGAGTAGGGCCAATTTCCAATGCTTTTCCATGATACTGATGCTGACCTGTGGGTTAAATGTAATGAGTGAGAATGATTCCTTCTGACCTGGATAAAAAACGGTCACAATTGACAGAATAATCCAAACAAAATGGTCGCACAAAACGGTGAGAAGTTTGATGGATACTCAACCGCATGAATTTGGCTAAATAAAACAGACTTTATGCAAATCAAGAAAGCCCCCTCAGAAAATGCTGGAAAGCTAAGTTCAATGCACCCATTCTACACTGAAGTCAAAGTGCAGTGGGTATAACAGCTATAAACCATGACACCACAAGAGGTGACAACTGGGGGGAAGAAACAGAAAGAAAAGTGTAAACAAACAAAACGGGTGCCAGTTAAGCAGAAAGGCCAGTAGGCAAACGTAAAAAAGAGTTCAACAACTTCGTTTGCTTCGTGACCGCCAAGTAAATGATAGCCACTATCCGCTGATGTGGCCAATGTCAAAGACCCTACTAACAAAGTTGGGATGTGTTAGTAAGACGGAAATCTTCGGCAAGCTGTTCATTCGCACACTTTATGATACCGGATGACAACCCCGGGGACTTTATCTAAACGGGCGCGGTATGGGCTGAAAGCACATGCCGCTGAAAGTCACCGATAGGCATCCGAAGAATGTGATTAAACAAGAGTGGACAGTTTAAGCTGAAAAAAGTCAGATGCAGCACCGGATGAATTGCAATCAACCACCGGCTGATGGGTTGTAACGGTAAATCATAAGTGGCTTCAAAAAACATCTGCGACATTGAAAGCAAGAAGCGGTCTAAGAACCGAGCCACCGGTAGCAGCGCAGCGTTGAATACACCAATCTAGAGTGATAACGGACCACAAAGGACAAGCAAGAAGCGTCCATCCCTCAGTTTCGCACAAACCAACTTCATGCACGGTTTATCGCATAATCTAATCGATCGACCGACTCAAGTAAATCTTTCATAACAAAAATGGGCGGGACGTTAGTACACCACACCAACAGATCTAAAATCGTGAGGGGGTGAAATGAAGCAACTCCAGCGGAAGACGGCCAATGACCGCGTTCCAGAATGGGAAGTGCAGTTCATGGACCTACCGTGGCTCGCCTACGGTGGATGCCGGTCATTTACGGTTGTTGTCCCCAGCATCTAATAACCATCCAATGTTTAGTGAACTTTGCAAAACGCGTAATACCTGTGGTGCGTGCGTGCAGAAACATGAATTTCTCTCTCACCTTAGGGGTGAAGACATATGGAATTCTCGGCAGACTCCTGGTTTGGTGCAGGGATCAGCTGAGCGCAAGCATAAACTGGTGAAGGACGGACCGATTGGTCATATTAGCCCGTTTCGGTCATCGAGCAAGACGCGTACAGACAGACACGTGTTTCCGGCGGTCGTTAGCTGTCAGCCAGCCTCGCACCGAGTGCTGAAGGTCATGGTTAACCGTAGGCGTTGGAGCGCTCGGTAGTTATGCGTGTCTCGCTGACCAAAGCGAAATGGCCAGCTACCCAGCCAAGTCGGCGTAGACAAGTTGAAGCGCGCAACCAAAACTGCAGCCTGAATGTGCGCACGTGATGGCATCTCAGCGAACCGGGTGTTTTGGATTAGGTGAGGGCGATATTAGGCAGTATAAGTCGTGTCAATGTCATTGAATCACCGCCTCAGGTAATGGAGCACGAACGGACACCGCAGTCGGGATCACATAACGTGCCTGTTACACAGCGCGCGCTGGTTATTTGGCTGTATGGTGAATGCGGCTTAAACGCCGCATCAACTTCACGAAGATACATTGCAATGAACGCAGGAATGCGCCCCGTCACCGACCAGTACGTGGTTAAACTAGTGAAGAAGTTCGAGCACTCGTCGGATCGCACAGCACTGTGACACGAGCCGATATGAGGTACACCGGACATTACAGGAACAAAAATTTCGTAGATTCAGTGCACTGCAAATGCAGCGTTTGAACCCCTGCGATCCGGAGAAGCTGCGTGAATTTTGCCGCTGGTTTCTGGACCACGAGGATATTCGTTCTGTCAGCTTTACACATGAGACACTGTTTCATCTGCATGGAACAATGAAACTGTATTCTTGGGCTACCAGCAACCCATCACATATGCACCGCAGTGTAAAACTTGTGATTTGGGCGGCAGTAACAAGCCAGAAAATTTTGGGCCCATATTTCTTTTCCGGGAATGTGACCGGTAGGCTGTTGTTTTGAAGTACCAAAGCCTCATCTTTTCCTGGCATCTTCGTACTTGGAAGTGCTGCAAACGTTTGTGTTTCCCCAGTTGGAGGTCGAAAGTGCATGCAGTACCATTTGGTGGCAGCAGGATGGTGCACCTGTACATTCGGCTAAAACGGTGCGTGCTTACCTCACCGACAAATTTGGTCACCATTGGATCGGACACGGTGGACCAATGGAGTGGCCTGCTTGTTCACCAGATTTGAACCCCATGGGCCTATCTGAAGCGGCGAGTGTACAAATCAAGGTCGCGTACATTGGACCAGTTGAAAGAAAATATTGTGAACGAATGTCGCGCGAGCACGAGGGATACATTGTAGAATGTCCTCGCCAACTGCATCGAGTGGTTCCTGCACTGCAACAGAATGCCGGCGGACATTTTGACCATATCCTTCACTAGCATAGATGATCGTTCCAATACATTTCTGTCCTCTTTCACAAATGTGTTAACGACTAAACTAGTCCGCTGACATATGGTGCTAATGATGCGTCCGGTCGGATAGAATTCTTAACGTCCAGGCTGTCGTTGAGAACCTAAACAGCGTAGGCACCGAAACGTTCGATGACTACCTATAGCGCAATCAATGTGTCGCTATGAACTGAGCTTCATCCAGTCTTAATGAAAAGCCGACTGTGTTGTTGACTCAGTTTCAGGCTATTGCCTGTGAAGTTGGTATTCGGGGATGAGTTACAGTAGATGGCAACAGGTGGATTTGGGGTCGTTCCGTATCTGGTAGACTAATGTGTGATCTCCACGTAGCCACCTGTAGCGTCTACTGAACAACCCGAGTGCTTTTGCTCGCTGCTGTTGCGGAAGGTTGCACAATCCCTTGACATATTTTGCTGCTCGATCACGGTGCGTTTCGAGCGCTGCAAGGTCACGGTTTAGCCAAGCCTGGATTGCGTATTCGACTTGTTAACACACGTAGGCATGGAGCATCATAGAGAAGATGAATGAATCCAAACTTTCGAATGCCATCCGCAAGCTAACAACGTGCTGGTTAGCACTTTTGAATTCCGACTGTCTGGAATAACCAAAAGTCGCCCTGCACCAGCACACCGAGTTCAAGTTCCTGAGGGCTTGTCTGCAGGTCATGTGCCCCAATATTCTAGAGATAGGCGTGTCTATGGCGGATGTGGATAAGGTGTCACTTGACCACATTTAATGGCAGTGAATTCTTCACCGGTCCATGGCAAGTCCCATATAGGTCGCACATGGAGGATCTTGTGGTCGTCCATTCTCTTGATCCCCGGCCAACTTTTAACGTTATCCGGAAAAGTAAAATTTTTGAGGTGATGGCTATCGCAAGATCGTCGCACTCCACTCGATTAGAGTCGGGCAGAGATGTTCGGTCTCTGACCTAGAACTGCTGTTCACGGAGAAAATTACCAACCCATCCTAATAATGCATTGCCTACGTTTTCCAAGTAGCCCATCTTTACGTCAGCGATGATCGCTTCCATGACTTTGGAAAGGGCAGAGAGAAGTGTTACCGGACGGTAATTGGTAGGATCAGACGGACTTCTCTGAAAGAATACGGCAAGTGGCTGGGCTAGGTGAATGGCTGCTGCCTGCAGTGCTTTAGGGTGAAGGTTATCCAAGGATGGTAGTTTTTTCAGAACCACTTTTGCTATGGATTTGATGTTGGATAACACTGATGGTGTTGGGACAGAAGCAAGTATAAGGTTTGAGGCTAGTACCTCTTGGAAAGTAGGCCAGTACTGGGCAAGGAGGAGTTGCCCGCCTTTTTTGTTGTGTGTGTATACCCACCATTAGTAGTGAGTGGCGGGATCTCGCCAAAAAAGGCGGCTAACGCCTCACGGGCACCGTACTGGCCTACCATCCAAGGGGTATAGCCTCAAACATTATACTTGCTTCTGGCCCCACACCATCAGTGTTATCCAGCATCATATGCACAGCAAAAATGGCTCGAAAAAAGCTGCTATCCTTGCGTACACACTGCTCCCCTGGAGTGGATAACCTTCACCCTGTAGGTAGCAGTCATTCAGCCAGCCCAACCACTTGCAAAATTATCTCAGAGAAGTCCGCCTGATCCTGCTGGTGCAGGACAACCTCGGTTATTCCAGACAGTCGGAATCCGTTTCAAAACGTGGTAACCAGCGCGTTGTTCGCTTGCGGATGGCATTCGAAAGTTTGGATTCATTCATCTTCTCTATGATGCTCCATGCCTACGTGTGTTAACAAGTCGAATACGCAATCCAGGCTTGGCTAAACCGTGACCTTGCAGCGCTCGAAACGCACCGTGATCGAGCAGCAAAATATGTCAAGGGATTGTGCAACCTTCCGCAACAGCAGCGAGCAAAAGCACTCGGGTTGTTCAGTAGACGCTACAGGTGGCTACGTGGAGATCACACATTAGTCTACCAGATACGGAACGACCCCAAATCCACCTGTTGCCATCTACTGTAACTCATCCCCGAATACCAACTTCACAGGCAATAGCCTGAAACTGAGTCAACAACACAGTCGGTTTTTCATTAAGGCTGGATGAAGCTCAGTTCATAGCGACACATTGATTGCGCTATAGGTAGTCATCGAACGTTTCGGTGCCTACGCTGTTTAGGTTCTCAACGACAGCCTGGACGTTAAGAATTCTATCCGACCGGACGCATCATTAGCACCATATGTCAGCGGACTAGTTTAGTCGTTAACACATTTGTGAAAGAGGACAGAAATGCATTGGAACGATCATCTATGCTAGTGAAGGATATGGTCAAAATGTCCGCCGGCATTCTGTTGCAGTGCAGGAACCACTCGATGCAGTTGGCGAGGACATTCTACAATGTATCCCTCGTGCTCGCGCGACATTCGTTCACAATATTTTCTTTCAACTGGTCCAATGTACGCGACCTTGATTTGTACACTCGCCGCTTCAGATAGGCCCATGGGGTTCAAATCTGGTGAACAAGCAGGCCACTCCATTGGTCCACCGTGTCCGATCCAATGGTGACCAAATTTGTCGGTGAGGTAAGCACGCACCGTTTTAGCCGAATGTACAGGTGCACCATCCTGCTGCCACCAAATGGTACTGCATGCACTTTCGACCTCCAACTGGGGAAACACAAACGTTTGCAGCACTTCCAAGTAGGAAGATGCCAGGAAAAGATGAGGCTTTGGTACTTCAAAACAACAGCCTACCGGTCACATTCCCGGAAAAGAAATATAAGCCCAAAAATTTCTGGCTTGTTACTGCCGCCCAAATCACAAGTTTTACACTGCGGTGCATATGTGATGGGTTGCTGGTAGCCCAAGAATACAGTTTCATTGTTCCATGCAGATGAAACAGTGTCTCATGTGTAAAGCTGACAGAACGAATATCCTCGTGATCCAGAAACCAGCGGCAAAATTCACGCAGCTTCTCCGGATCGCAGGGGTTCAAACGCTGCATTTGCAGTGCACTGAATCTACGAAATTTTTGTTCCTGTAATGTCCGGTGTACCTCATATCGGCTCGTGTCACAGTGCTGTGCGATCCGACGAGTGCTCGAACTTCTTCACTAGTTTAACCACGTACTGGTCGGTGACGGGGCGCATTCCTGCGTTCATTGCAATGTATCTTCGTGAAATTGATGCGGCGTTTAAGCCGCATTCACCATACAGCCAAATAACCAGCGCGCGCTGTGTAACAGGCACGTTATGTGATCCCGACTGCGGTGTCCGTTCGTGCTCCATTACCTGAGGCGGTGATTCAATGACATTGACACGACTTATACTGCCTAATATCGCCCTCACCTAATCCAAAACACCCGGTTCGCTGAGATGCCATCACGTGCGCACATTCAGGCTGCAGTTTTGGTTGCGCGCTTCAACTTGTCTACGCCGACTTGGCTGGGTAGCCGGCCATTTCGCTTTGGTCAGCGAGACAAGCATAACTACCGAGCGCTCCAACGCCTACGGTTAACCATGACCTTCAGCACTCGGTGCGAGGCTGGCTGACAGCTAACGACCGCCGGAAACACGTGTCTGTCTGTACGCGTCTTGCTCGATGACCGAAACGGGCTAATATGACCAATCGGTCCGTCCTTCACCAGTTTATGCTTACGCTCAGCTGATCCCTGCACCAAACCAGGAGTCTGCCGAGAATTCCATATGTCTTCACCCCTAAGGTGAGAGAGAAATTCATGTTTCTGCACGCACGCACCACAGGTATTACGCGTTTTGCAAAGTTCACTAAACATTGGATGGTTATTAGATGCTGGGGACAACAACCGTAAATGACCGGCATCCACCGTAGGCGAGCCACGGTAGGTCCATGAACTGCACTTCCCATTCTGGAACGCGGTCATTGGCCTTCTTCAGCCAGACTAGTTGTATAAACCGAAGAGTGTTATGCTGCTACGCTGTGCATAGGGGTGTGTGATGCCGTTGAGTCAGATCAAAAACGACGAACCCGTCTGGACACGCTAGACGTGTAATTCGGGCATTTATCAGGAACTCAAAATCAATCAACAGGTGGTGATCATCATCCTTTTATGTATACGCTTCCAGGTGCCTCTAGCATAGTAAAGAACAGCCCACTATGCAGCTCTGTCCAAAGAGAGACCTTGGTTGGTTTGTGCTTCAACATCCACAGCTCCAATCACACGCTTTGAATGCAATGTAAACCCAAAGCAGCATGACCGATAGGCACTCGAGTGCGAGGCATTATCAAGTCGGAAACGGCCCATATGCCTTCGAAAGGCACATCGGTGATACAGTCTTGGGAGGTAGAGGTGTCAGCAGTAGGCTGGTACGCAGTTCCGACGATTCGCTGCCGCGCAACCATCAGCAGTCGCGTGTGGGCTAAAGATACCGCGAAGGTCGTCCGGCCCCTACACAGGCTCCAATCCGCGCCTTCGGATTACAAAAAGGCTCGTGATCCATTAGGCTACGGGTCGGCGTACACGTGATCATACACTTGAACTGGAGATGAGGAACGCCTGAGATATTGTGCCGCAATACAAGTCAGTTGGATGATGGCACACAGATAGGTAGCTGTGGAGGAGCATTGGTTCTGATGGCACATGAGCTGTAATCAGATTGTGAATATATATATGCAGCAGCATGATTCCTGGTTAAGCCACTCTTTGAGCCATACGTCAATGAAAAGAATGTGTCCCGCTTCACCTAATTACATAACTTCAAAGATTACGGTCGTTTTGAAACCCACTCTCAGATGAAAGCGCTGTGCAAGCTAGAAAAGAAGTGATCGATGATGTAAAAAGACAGCTCCGACATTTCACCACAGTAGATACTCGATGCTAAAACTTTTGTTCGTGTGACACTAAAAAGGTATCAGCACTACACCAGTACTCCACCATGCTGATGCATCACTGCTATGCAACCGGTGGTGGTTGTATGCAAGGCAGGATGCTGCCTTGGTGCCCAAGCTATGCAGGCGCTGGAACACGAACCCAGGGCGCAGAAGCTGTAGGCCAAATGCCTTAGACTGAAATACAATCCAACCGACAGTTGAAAGTTCCAGCTGGTGAAAATCGAGGCCCTGAATCATGCAGATATTTTTGATTTAGAGTATGTGAAGTCAAGTGATGCTAAAACTGCTGCAGGTAAAATGGAGAGGACCATCCCGAGCAGGATATATGCACATATTCCGACTAAAGTGACAACCTTAGGCTAACTTGCGTTATATGTAACTGATGGTAATTCTAACTTGGGTTCAAAGAAGCGTTTCGTCTGGTGATCCCAGAGCGATGAGATGCGATTGTATGGAATGGAAAGTAGTACTTCGAAATAGCCAGTGAGTCAAAGCACTATGCGATTGGGCAGACGTGTCATGGGCAACTGTTATGGCTTCGCCATTTCTAGTCGTTCCGATGAAGGAGAGCTGTTTTGTTTGATGGCATAATGAGGTAATGCCGGTACAATCGTACGCTGAAGTGCTAAAAGGCATCGTGCCTTCAGATGCCTTGTGTTAACTGTGTGTTTGGCATTAGAATATCATATCTGTGGGTATTTACAGAAATCCAATTATCATTATTAGCTTATTATTATTAGCTTAGCTTGTTATTAACTGACAATGGAGATATGATGAGCTATGCATCTGGGATAAATGAAAGGGCTAAGCATACGGTTACCGTCATTAAAGTTTGAAACAAGTGCTAGAAGATGCACTAAGACGGAGTCAGAGCCCGCATCACTTCTAAAGGAATGCGAAAGGGGAGCGAGAGCTTGCTCGTTGGCTGAGGAGATAAGAATTGCGCATATCTGAAAGATCGGGATGCCGGGCGCAGTAGCAACCGACAGACCGGAAACGTCGATGAACAAAACAAAATCTCGAACAAAACAGGAGTGCTGACAAAGTGTTGGGCAATACTGCAAGCGGCTGATCATGAGCACCTGCAGTCGGACTGCAGGCAAACGACGGGCCAAAGCAAGCACCGACAAAGTGTAACTACGTTTACAGCACGAAGCAAAGTGATTGGCCAATACAGTCACAAAAGCCAAAAAGCATTCCTCCAACGGGATTCGGTACATGAACGAGCACCAAACAAACGAATCGATTTCAGACTCAACTAGAGGGCGAAACATTTCGAAATGATGAGTGTATTAAATCCCAGATGGCTTTGGGGTTAGGAGATCTAAATTGTAGTCTTGGGGCCAATCAATCCCCAGGGAGTTGGCTCAAAATGCAGGTGAACGTTTTCCATAAGCGCGATATACGGAACATAATCGGCACATGAAGACCAACTACCATCGGAGCGAGTTAAGAGTTTTGAATGAATAGCACACATGAAATAGCATACGGAAAGTGAACTGCGCGGACGAAAGTTGTATGAAAGTTAGTTGGACAGATGGATACAAGGAATCAACACAGAGATGGTAAACAAGCTTCGGATGAAATTCAATTTCAATACAAGCAATAAAACGTGTGAACAGTCAATGTGCCTTACCGGCTTGACAGAGGCGCTAGATTCACCGGGTTTGAAGTGCCAAAGGAGTTCGCCGGTTTTGAGAGAGAGCGCCAAGGTGGAATAACAAAAGCCGTTGCTGTTTCTGTAAGAAGAACATATAAGGCACCAGGTGAGTGGTACACGAAGAATCGAAGAAATCCAGCGGTCGGATTAAAAGCTAACAAATGGTTATGCTAGCCGGATGCAGGTATGAAGCGTCTACGTTCACAGATGGAGATAACGAGCGAACCAACAGACATTATTACGAATTACACTGCACCGAAGCGCGCGTGTAGTATACGTTTCAAAAAATCTCAAATTAATTAAGTACATTATTCCGTCGCAAGTGCAAAACTAAGAGCAACAATCACAATAGGCGAGGGCAGTGGACCATCCAACAAGCCCACAATGATGCTACTCCTCCAACTCCTGCAGCACAACGCTAAGAGGCCGGTGCATCAAACAGGTGGCCCGGTGAAAACAATGTTCCTAAGTTAGCGGATATTATAAGGAAGGGATTAACTGGAATGTTAGTATCCCGGTAATAATAAAAGGCTTATAGATGCCTTAAAGTGTGAGCGCTAAAAGTTAGTCAGCAATACGTCTAGAATAGGCCGAGTGCAGTGACTAATTGAAAAAAGGAGCTGAAAGTATTGCATTGACAGTAGAGTTTCGTTAAATTCAGTTCAGTTCAGTTGAACAGCTAGAATCCGTGTATCGAAATGTAGTGGATCCAGTTGACACAACCCACATCGCCTGGATGATAATAAATGACGGTAAGAAAATAAGGTTAAATGCAAATAGATTGCAGAGAAAAGCAAGAATTTGGTGCGTTGAACTAATCACGATAGAAGAAAATCATCATCAATACACGTTAGCCGAGGGTAAGAAACACACCTCAGCTAATGTGCCGCAAAACAGAATGAAAACAAACGGCTAGATGATAGAAACGGAATGGTGAAACGCCACTGACTACGTGACTGCGCCATGACTGATAGGGACTCTAGCCACTGGTGCGGACCATCCTGCAGTCCCATTCAACGAAGACGGCATGCATCAGTCAGATCAAGTCACTCGGGTAGTTTATTCATGTCTTCCTGTCACGTCATGGTCTGACCACCTAGGTTAAAATACTCCGCTACGATTCAAGATTTTCAGCGCGATGGACCGCGATGCAAAGGTCGTCACTATGGTGATACCAGTAATAACATCAACAAAAGAACGCCGAAACAGATAATAAACAACCGGGAAAATAAGATGTGGAAATACATAACATATAGAAGAAGACTAGACTAAGATTTCAATATAACACGTCATTTCCACACAGCCGATCAGCCGTTGTACTCGTTGTTTGTTGATTTCACCAAAGCATTTGGTGAACCGAGAGGTACTGTGGCTGGTGTTGGATACGTTTGGTTGTCTAGTTTTAATTGAAGTGTAAGTTTTAAGTTTAACTGAATGCCTGCATAGTGGTATGCGGGCGAGGGTACAGCTGAGTGGACAGACCTCGGAGGACTTTGCAATTGTCTCTGGTGTGGAGCAAGGCTGTAGCTTAGCTTCTACCCTGTTTACTATTTATCTACATGCAATGGTGACTTGTGCTTTTGATGTGGCTTGTGCTTACGGTGTTTGTGTGGAGCACCGTACTGTTGGTGGGTTGCTGGACATCCGTCATTGGGAGCAAGAACCAGAGTGTGTGAGACAACCATCCGGAAGTGGGGTGCAGCGCTTTCAGGCGGGCAACACTCAATTACTTGCAGCGAATGACTTCGGCTCTCGCTTCCACAGCGGCCAAATTAGGGATCATCATCGACACAAGCAAGAACGTTCGTCTTCTTGAGCCTTCATCAGGAGTGGAATCAGTGAGCTTGTCGCAAGTTTAAATTGCTGATGACGGTTCTGAGATCACGTCGAGAATTTGTTACCCGGAGATTATACTTTCTACAGACTTTCAGATGACGAACGAGCATCGGAGGCGGGTGTGCATTTGGAATGTTAGGAAAACGTGTGTGGAACAATCACCAGTGAACCGTTAGTAGGAAGTGTCGATGGTGCTGTCTGTCCATTGGTACGGCAGTTAAACCTATATACTGTACCGGAAGAAAGTCCGTTATTTGGAGCCGTTTCACCAAGAGTGCCTGCGTCCGTTTCTACCCATTGGCTGGTGTGACCGAGTTGCAGACACGGAATTGCTGCGCCGCAGTGACATGCATGCATTGGACTTCATAGTTCTGCTGCGGTACCTGAGGTAGCTCAGACATGTCCGCCGTATGGATGCGACGAAGATATCGAAACAGCTGCTTTATGGTCAATTACGTACAAGGAAGGGGACGTGGGCAGACCGAGGCTTCGTTACCAGGACATGATCAAGTTGAGTTTAGCAGGAACTAATGTTGATCCTGAATGTTGAGAAAAAATGGCAGTGGATCGATATCAAAGGGGTGAACACGTCAAGAATGCCGTTGCCCAGTTACATGAGGAAGAAAAACACCAGTTACGGAAGCGACGGGCATCGATGGACAATAGCCAATCGACGTCCATCAAATGGTGCTATGGCACATGCGGTAGCGAGTGCCTTAGCCAAGCCGGCCTGGTGAGTCACCAACTTGGCTACGAAAGGCCACTATGCACAAGCGACCAGTCAGCAGATTATCTAATCAGCAGCAACGTAGCGTTCGCAAGTACGCTGCGTCCGCTTCTCTTGGATTTACTAACCCAGCTCAATAAGTTGCTTGATGTGGTACTTGTGCTACATCGTCATAGTAGTTGGTCTGTACGTGCGCCTTCGTGTTGAGTTTCCTGCATTCCAGGCGTTGGTTGTTGCATGACATCCCCGGTGTGGCTGTGCTTAATGTGAATGTTGACAAGGTACCTACCTATCACCCCCTACGTCGAGTAATCATCATCATCACCATCATTATACACGTTAGCTGGAGGTGGGGACACCTCAGCCATTGTGTCGCAATATATAAGAAAAAGTACTAAAGAGCCACAACATAGGCGCACCAGATGCACCACCAGTAACGGATAGACATCGTTACGGAGAGCCAGAAGCCGGCTACTGTGCCGAAAAAAGTTGTTATGTTTCAGGAATGAGATCGTGGTTGGATAGGGAAGGCTAGGCAGGAGCAGGGACAAAGAAACTCCCAACACAAATCCTATTGAGGTCGGCTCCTTGTCATGTCAACAAGTGTATTCAGCCAAACGTGTTCATCGGCTTTCAGACCCCAACCAGGGAGCAGAGAGGCTCCAACCGAGGCCAATTTCGAAGTTAACAGCCTTCATTCCCATAGAGAAAATAATCGTTTGGCCACCCATCCTGTTCTTACATCTACACTCCCGGCGAGTAACCAACGCATGTCGCGGGAGGCGGTGGGGTGGCATGTGCAACATGTCGCCACGCCATCAGAGCCTGGTGCGTGACATAAGGTTGATGAGCGGTTCACTTCCTCCTCCTGTGCCATAAACAAGGCGCCGAACACACTCATTGCTCACGTAGTGTTCCCACCAGATATGAGCCAAACTGTGAAGGCATCGGCGGTCGAACGTAGCTTGCCTCTCTATGTCTGCCGAGTTAATGGGCCAGGTTACACAACCGTACGGCTGCATTGTGCACTCTACCCTTCAGCGCGAGACTGGTGTCGTGTCGACAATTTAGGTGGCGCCTCGAGCTTTTGCTATACGGCTGATGACCTCGTCTTCGATTCCACAGGCACTGATACAACAGCCTAGATAGGTGAATATCTGAAGGACTTATATCTCAGCCCCACCACAAGAACTGCTCGGAGATGTGAACGCCTACCAGCTGAGAAGTGGAGACCCAACAAACCATCTGGAAAACAAGATCATATGAGCTCCTCGAAGACTGGAACAAAAGTTAGAACACAGTAAGATGAAACCTGAGGATTCAGTGATACTACTGTTCTACGACCCAACTAAAGTATACAAAATTGTGGTGCCACTTCACCTTACGTGTCATAACCCGAGGCACCGAATTGCAAGCTGTCTAAGGAACTCTGGAAACGAATGGAACACCTAACCGCAGTCTCAGAGCATTCAATCAAATCGGCAGAACAATTCCTTGGAAAAATCAAGGGAATAAGAACAGAAAAAGACGAAATAACGGTCTCCGTTGGTGTTACAGCATTGTGTACATCAAATGAAAAGAAGCTGGAAGCGCAAACAATGATGACCCCACTAAAACAACACGGGGCGGCAAATACGAACAGCAGAATGGTAATCACACAAATGAAGTTACTTGGTCACTGTCTCACCACGCAATTAAATTTCGATGGCCAAACGTACAATCAGATAATGGACGCTGTTTTATCAAGAAGGCAAAAAAAGCAGGATGTCCGTACTCAATCCAGGGGTAATAGACTCAACATAAAGAACAAACAATTTTGACCGTCCGGAGTTTACGCAACCAGTGAGAAGTGAGTTGCTGTGTTTCAGCTGACCAATGAAGCATGAGTAGTGACAATGTGATGAATCGGCAACAACAATCACGACTCGCGGCTCTTTAGCCGCGTCACGCGGGCTGGTATCGACCGACAGGCTTCGAAGGTCTGGTAGACCGGTGGGGCTGACTTCGCGGTAGCGGCGATTCGGTCTGGTGTTAACACATAGTTTGAGACTGGGTAGATGGTCCATGGGCCGTGTGCAACCGACGTGCGTTAGCAATTTGGTCGTTTTCCAATCCATTGGTCCCTGGATATGCGATTTCTAAATTCTGCACGTTCCGCAGATAGGTTATGTGCAGCAGTTAGTTTGGTGCGTAAGGGACTTCCTAACATCAGCTCCATCGGCGTTCTTCTGGTAACCCTGTGATCACAAGTTCTGTAAGAAAATACATCAGTTGAGACAGCATCCTCCCAGTCTGACCCTCCAATTGGATGCGCTGTGTGGCTTCCTTGAGGGATCGGTCTAGCCGCTCGACCATTCCATTGGCCACAGCATTGTAAGGTGCAGTTCTGGAATGTTTTATATTATGGCACAGGAAAAAATTGCAAAATCGTGGCTACAAAATTGTGGTTCATTGTCCGTGACTATTTCTTCCAGTAGTTCGAAATCACTGAGCAAGTGTTTAAGCCAGCGTAACAA